TGGCTGCCAAATCCAAACTAACCTATCAGTCAGTCTGAGATTTGTTATGCCGTCCTTTGATGGATGGCAGCACACGATGATAACATTAACTTCCCTCAGGAACGCCCTCTGCCGTCAAACACGGGTACTTATTGAACCGCCCTCGTACTTATCAGCATTCATAATACCTTCCACAAAGTGTAAGTTTCCCACTCCACTTGCTGACATGGATCCTCAAATCATAATAGAAGCCGGAAACTTAACTTTTTTTAAGACAGTCATTCACTTCTTCTTTAGTTCTTATGTCACGACTTCTTATCACCAACGCATACTTCCAATCTGGCTTAATCACTCCCAACAAGGTTCCATTGGTTCGGAGACCATAATTTGTGTTCTTTGGTCCACGCTAGTCTGTTTTTCTTCTGAATCTTTGTCAGGAAGAGTTTCTGTTTTGCCTCGAAATACTGAACTAAAAACGAATAATAAAATATAATTTAAGCCTGCCTTGTAAGTTTTAAATCCCAGTTTTTGGGTAGCTCTTGAAAACTTTTTTATGGTTGCCTGATTTCATAATACCGCAAAGTTGAGGTTTTCCTTTTCAGAAACAACTACCCTTGGAATAACAAAGGTAATGTTTAGTGAAACGAGGGCGACCAAGTAAAAAAAAAATAAATGAAAAAGTACTCACTCTCCAGTTGACGAGAAGGACTAAGTACGTCTCTGCCCGAAATCATACCGCTCCAGCAGAAAATGAAATCAGCTGATGCGCTACCGAGCAGACGCAGGCAAACAAGGAATTCAAAATGTTGCGTAAAACGTCTAGGTATTGCATCCCGTCCAATCGATTTGGCAGAATAGATGGTCCAATGAGCATACCGTTCACCATGCCAGCCCAAACATTCACGAAATGTTTGTTGAAAATGTGCCCGACGGACAGCGTGCGGATTTTCTGCTGACCAAATATGAGTGTTGCGAAAGTTATTCACTCCATTACGCGTGAACGTAGATTCGTCTGTCACCAATATGCACTTCAAAAAGTCCGGATTATTGTCATGTTGATGCAACAACCACTCACAAAATCGCACTCTTGCTGCAAAATCGTCAGGTTGAAGGGCTCGTACAGGTTGGACGTGAAACGGATACAACCCCTCTTCACGCAGCGTTTGCCACACTTTAGTTTTTGATACTTGCACTTCTCTAGCCACGTCTCTAGTGCTGGTTGAGGGATTCTCGTCTACGCGATTACCTCTAGACGCGTGACCGTAACCGTCGGTTGAAGGTTGCATACAGACCTGACACACTGATACCCCGACCCAGTTCTGTCGGTGGATTGAGCTAGTGTCCTGGTACCAGTTGGGGATGTCGCGGCTACAGGACGGTATTCAGATATTTTTGATGTTGCTGAGCCCTTTATCTCGGTTCCCTTAAGACATTGGTGTATATGGTACTAAGAAAAATTGCTTATGTTTTCAAGATCTACACGTCGTGTAAAGGAAAACCCCAACTTTGCGGACACTCTGTATTGATACCTACATGTCATCGTCTTTTGGGCTAACTACATTACATGGATCATGATTTTGGATTTTGAGCTGCCATAACTTATTCTAGAACAAGGGATAACTTTTTGAAGGTATGTCACTTTGGTACACTTTTATCTCTTCTAATCTCTGCTTTACTGTTCTTGTGAAAGAGAATCTACATGGATTTTTCTTCAAGTTTTCAGTGTTTCAAATGATTAGTTCTGTCTCAGACAGAGAATAGAGAGTAGATTTTTAAACGGTCTTTCTCTCTCGAGGGTTTTTTTACCGTAAATTTTAGGAACGAGGCAGGTAGCCCATACCTTGTTACGTTCCTCACGTCACTGCTCACTACTGGTCACTATTTTTTTACCTGAGCATTTGCGAGCTGAGGACATCTCAGCTGCGCCTAGAGCCATAACTGGAAGAAGCCCATTATCCAGATAAGTTTAGGTGTAGGCGTTAAAATATTTATAAAGCCTATATTTGTAAAGCCTTCGTACGTGTACCGGGGTTAACGTTATTAGGTAGTTTTGAATAATATCATTTCTTTTAACTTGCACTCCAGTGGTGGAGCATTTGTTCTGCTTGTTTTGATAATGTATTGTGATTTTTTTTAAATACCTTATTGCATTTGGCTCTCTGTATACAATTAATTAGGTTCCATAATTACTGTTAGATTCTTTTCTTTGTTTGGTGGTCAGTCCAAACAAGTTCCGACTAACATCTCGGGGATTTGTGCCTTAATCCGTCTTGAGTCACTGGCGCTCTTAACTACTCCCCTACTCTTCGCCTTATCGAGCTAGGTCCTAAATTTGCACGCCACTTTACAGCTCTTTTGCATTGACTTACCCTTAGATTGAATTTATAGTAATTTATTAATTCATTAATTAATTTAAAAAAAGTAGGAAGGAGGAACTACAGCACCATCTTCTCTTGTTTATAAAAAAAGTGGCATATTCTCAACCCCTACAAAAATGTCTCTGAAAATGATCACGAGTCTCTGAAACGACAAGGACGAAGTTTCGGCAATTTTATTTTTTCTAGTATTTTGCCCCTAGCTCCGCCTTCACTGAGACGACTTCGGAAAACTGCAAAGTTATTTAGTCCTTGGCATAGCAGTAACCTTGTGTGAAAGTCTTATCCAACTCCAAGCAGTACTTCTCAAGTTATAGGTGGTTAAAAAATTAGCGCACAGACCGATAGACAAACTGACAGAAACGAGTGACGGCGTAATGTACATTTCATATAACATCCAAAAAGCATATCGTCGGCAGTCTGACAATACCTGCTAACTGACATTTTTTTGAAAATGAGTTTTTTATGTAGTTGACTTCATAAATTAACGGCACATCATATGAAATAATCTGCCAACTACAGATAATTCATTTGTTTACTCTATTGCCGCGAAACAATAGCTGCGATCTTCCCCGTCTACTATTAGCTGACGCAATACCTGCTAACGTTCAGTTGCATTCGTAAATTTGTAGGTTATTAACCACGTGTTGGCGCGCACCGCTTAATGTGTTTTTCTCCGAATAACCAGCCAAGACTCCAGAAGTTTTCAAATAAGGGTAAGAATAAGTTTTACTTTATATGCATAATTATATTTTTGAACAAACAACTCATCAAAGCAATTAAAATCAACGTTTTGTAATAAAGCGCAGATAGCAGTCATTGCAATTATATTATTTCTGTATAAGGAGGAACTTAGCACGTTCTGTTTCTATTGATATTGTAAACTGTTATACACTGGAAAACACAAAAGTAGTGCTTTTTACCTGTTGATAAGCATAATTATATTATTTTTATGATGTTTATGTCATCTAGGTGAACAAATGCAGCTCACAGGTATGGTGCTTGTGCGGAATAAACACAAAATTATATTTGCTTTTAGGAAAAATGGCGTCCCGAGCACAAAAAATCTTAAATCTAGTGAGAGAACAAGAAAAAAATAAATCAGCTCTCGAAGAACTTGATAATACAGTACAAACTGATTCCCAAACAGTTGTACCAGCAGTACCAAGCACCTTACCAGAAAGATATGATGAACACATAAGCACCTTTAACGGATTTGATATCAACAGTATGGAGATCGTATTGGCTGATGATGTCCTTGAAATAGATGAAGCTGAGTTCAATCTTCCGCCAGCTGAGCTAGGAATAAATGTTTGTGGTTTAGAGGATAAAGACTTAGATCTTCGCCATCGTGATCAAGATCAGCCAACCGCTGGAAGTCATGGCAATTTTAGTAGCAGTAGTAATGAAAGCGATCTTGACAGTGATTCCGTTCCAGATAATGTCTATGCTGTAGAGGATGATAGCTTCGATGATAATGCTATCGAAAGTGATAAAGAAAATAGCGCAGCTGAAAATCATCCTGAAGGACAGCCGACTGTCAATGATCATCAAAACTTAATAATGAGACTAATTGGGGTGACACGAATGAAGGACGAAAAATAAAAATTACAGCAGACAAAGATGAATGGAAAAGGAATAAAAGCAAATTACTAAGAATGAAAGGGGAGGATTACCTTGGATTTTCGCGTGACAAGGACAAAAACTTAAACATAATACTCCTCGCCCAGCGAGGAAACTGGGAATGGCATGTGTTTCAAAATGTGTTTAAAATCAAATAAGATGTTTTGTAATACTTTCACCGAAGATATACGAAAATAAATGTTTTCCCGTTTTTGGAAAAAAATGACGTGGGATCAAAGAAAGCTTTTTGTTTCTGGACATGTCAGCCTCCAGCCTCCATCTAGGAAAACAACTGAAAATGGAAGCAGTAGACGAGAAAATACCATGACATACAAACTACATAATGGTACAGAATTGGTTCAAGTCTGTCGCAAAGCATTTCTCAATACTACAGGGCTAGGAAGATTCACAGTGGAAAGTTGGAAAAAAGAGAGTGTATACGATATGAACGAGTCTAAGGAAGAATTTAATAAACAGCGAAAGAATAGGAATAATAGGGTACGTGCTTTCGAGGACAGTAAAGCTTTCCTGAATTTATTTTTAGATGACCTTCCGAAACAGCCATCTCACTATGTGAGAAAGGATACCAGTAAATTTTATTTAGAGCAACATTTCGTTACTCTGAAGTAATTGCATAATTTTTATAGAGAGGTTTGTGATGAGAAAAACAAGCATTGCCTGGGTATAAAGGTGTTTAAGCAGATATTTAAAAAGAAAAATCTTAGTTTGTTTTCACCAAAGAAAGATAGATGTGACATTTGCATAGAGCAGGAAAATGGTAACATTGATAGTAGTATTTGGAGTAAACATACTGAAGACAAAGAAAAAGCTAGAAAAGAAAAAAACCGAGATAAGTAGAAAGCTGTGAAAGGCGAGTGCATTGTAATTTGCATGGATCTGCAAGCTGTAAAAGTTGCTCCATTGGTGAATGCAACAAAGATTTATTTTAAAACAAAGCTAAGCTGCCACAATTTCACCATATATAATATTGTATGTCACCAAGCCACGTGCTATTGGTTTACCGAGGTCGACTCTGGACTGCAGGCGTCGACTTTCGTTTCATGTTTGCTGGATTATTTAAACAGGCATTGCCTACAACACAATTTGCCAATAATTATTTACTCAGACGGGTGCACATTTCAGAACAGGAACAACATTATGTCAAACGCCTTACTGAATATTGCTATCATGCACAAAGTTACTATTATTCAAAGGTATCTCACGAAAGGCCATACACAGATGGAATGCGGCTCAGTGCATAGTTGCATAGAAAGAAGGTTGAAAAACAGGATAATCAAGCTACCCAGTGATTATGTAACAGCGTCTTTAGAAGCTAGAAAAAACCATTCCCATACGAAGTGATCCAGCTGGAGCACACTTTTTTCAAAGATTATAGTAAAACAGAGCTCCTTCGTTATTCGACAATCAGACCCGGCAGAGAGAACCTTGTGACCGACATCAAAGCGCTATGCTATGATCCCTGCGGTGAACTGAAAGTGAAGCTTGATTTCGATAACGATTCAAAAGTCTTCAGAGTAGACTGAAACAAATCGCTGTGAGTTCAAACTGCCCTAGCCTTTACAGCGATAGATTGGAAATAACAGACTAAATGGAAGCATCTACAATACTTGAAGAGCGTTATTTCCAAAGATTGCCATACATTTTATGACCTTCTTCCATACAAAAAATATAAAACTGCCGAAAACACTACTGAGTCCGATGCTTTGGATGGAAAACAAAAACCGAAGAAATGCAAGAAATGAAGTTGTACTTAACTATCTAAAATATGTTCTTTATTTTCTAAAACTATTATTATACCTATGATATTGTCCTTCTTTAGTTAATAAAGTTTCTTTATAGCAATTGCTGCTAAGTCGATAAGTTACACCGTAACAATATCTGCTATGTGATTTTTAAGGAAAGTCCAATCATATTTTAACAAAATTAGTTTATCCTGCTCACAGTAACAATAGAATTATAATAAAGTTGATATTTCACGTACAACGGCCACCATACCAGACCCTTGATGTGTTTTTTCATTCTCCTGTAAAATCATCCTATTTTGCACTTAGCAGGTCTTGTCAGACTGCCGACGATATATCGCTTTCGAAATTTTTCGTCTGTAACTGTAGAAAAAAACAATGCCTTTCAGACACTCTTGCTGTGCGGTTTCCTTATAAAATCTCCCATTTAACGTCTCTTACTTGTTTTAAAAACTCACCTCATCGTACTCGCTTACACGTCCTCTGCCCCAGACCGCCCCTGTTTCCGCCTTCAGGGAAAGAATTAAATAACAATGCCCCCTTCATTCCAGACGACGCTCTACTTTAAATAATTCCTTAAATGTAGATTTATGTGGGTGCGATTAGCATCCAGATGATGATTTATTATTGTTTTATCCTCACTCCCTCCGTTTGGTGTTGTCAAAAGCAGTCGCCGTCAGCGAATAAGATACCATGTATAAATTGGCAAAAAGATGAGCTGTGCCTCATGTAGGAGGGGATTTGTATGTTCTCGACGACGACTAAAAACGGCACGAGCTGTTGTGCGCTACTAATCCTTGGCTGTCAAATGGAAACGGCCTCTTGGGGTCCTGCTGGGGGTTCCCGGGGACAAGCTCGTAGAAATTAGAAGCATCAACTATTTTATGATCTATGTAGGTATTGCATTCCTGCTAAAAGGTACAAAACATGAGCGCCAAGGCGCATTCTACAGTGTGACCAATATACAGGGTGTTTCAGTTTATTGTTGCATATCTTTAAGATTCGATAGAACTTTTAAAATTAATGCATAAAGTCTATATAAAAATGGGTCAAAAAATGCGTGGCTTCCGAAATACAGGGTGTTTGAATTTACTTTTTAAAATAGTTTTTTTTAAAATAAAAAATGATTCTTCGCACTTTTCAACATAAAAAAGCTCTCTTGTGAATTTTCGTTATAGTTAGCCGTTTTTGAGATATTTCGATTTTTAAGGTTCGATGCATTTTTAATTATTTATGAAAATAACGTTAAAAAGTCAGTATCTCGATAATTTTTAGTAGTAGGCTGTGCCTGCAAATATTTTTGAAATTGAAAGCAGAATAAGGTTAAATGTCAATTAGTTGTCTGTTGAAACCTGAAACGTTTTTTTGCAATTGTGAATGCACGAAATTTAGTTTCCTTTACCCGTTTTTTTTTGTAAGTTTTATAAAAATGCCATTTTTATTCTCCAATCAAGAGTTAGCGGATAATCATTTTGTGTATGGCTTTGTAAATGGAAACGCAGCAGAAGCAGCCAGAGAATACGCACGAAGATTTCCAAACAGACGACATCCAACTCGCTCAGTATTTGTGAGAGTGCATCGCCAAGTAATTGAAAATGGTTTTGGAAATCTCCAAAGGGATCAAAACATAAATGTTCGTCAGCGCAGATTTACCCGTATGATTCTGCGTGAGTTTGATAGAGATCCGACCACAAGTGTTAGGAGAGTTTCTGGTGCCTTGGGAATTTCAGCAAGCCATGTTCACCGTGTTCTTAGAAATGACCATAGACGTCCTAACCATTTGCAACCTGTGCAAGGACTACAGTCAGGGGACGGAGAACGAAGAATCACATTTTGTCAGTGGAATCTTGATAGAACTGATAAAATAGGGAGTTTTTAAGTAACGTTTTATGGACCGATGAGTCATGCTTCACTAGACGTGGTGTGGTCAATTTTCATAATCAACATATTTGGTCGCATGAAAATCCGCATGCAGTTCGGGAAAGAAATGTTCAGCATGAATTTAGTGTGAACGTGTGGATTGGTATCTACCGTAATCGACTATTTGGACCCTACCTTTTGCCTGCAAGGTTAAATGCGGCGACCTTTTTGGAATTTTTAAAGGCTGAACATGCAAATATGTGGGATGATGTTATGTTAGATTTAAGAAGATTGGCCTGGTTCCAGCTTGATGGTTGTCCAGCTCATTATTCGAGAATAGTTAGAAACTGGCTGGACGAAAATTATCCAGAAAGATGGATCGGCCGTGGAGGGCCAGTCGCCTGGCCTGCACGATCCCCTGACCTAAATCCATTAGATTTCTTTGTGTGGGGATTTCTAAAAGAAAAAGTGTACCAGACTCCCGAAACCACAAGAGATATGCTAATAGACAGAATCAGGAATGCATGTGATGAAATAAGGCCTTATTTGAATAATGCTATACCACGTTCGATCATTCGTAGATGTGAATTGTGTATTGAACAATTGGGTTTACATTTCGAGCAACTACTTTAGATTTTGTATGACTGTCTAACTATCCAATAGCATTTTAGTTGTAAATAACTAATTTAATTTGTTAAAAATAATATTGGAAAATTAAACAAATTAATATTCTGTTTTTTTTTTGTGTTTATTTGGAGTTAGGAATTATTGCTGTGTTTAAAAACACAATCTAAACGATCATCTTAATTGTAATGACCAAATCGAAAATGTAAAAAAAATATTATTTTCCCATAAATAATTAAAAATGCATCGAACCTTAAAAATCGAAATACCTCAAAAACGGCTAACTATAACGAAAACTCACAGGAGAGCTTTTAATGCAGAAAAGTGCGAAGAATCAGTTTTTTATTCAAAAAGCAAAAATAGTGCAATTTTTCGGTCATTTCAATACACTACAGGTACTGTAGAGAGCGCCCTCTAGCGGATACAGTAAAACTATGCCCATGGTTCGTTTTGTCGTACCAACAAACACTTGTATACGAATTTTCACTGTTATTCATCACATATTGTTCGAAATATTTAAAAAAAAACTATTTTAAAAAGTAAATTTAAACACCCTGTATTTCGGAAGCCACGCATTTTTCGACTCATGTTTATATAGACTTTATGCATTAATTTTAAAAGTGCTATCGAATCTTAAAGTTATGCAACAATAAACTGAAGCACCCTGTATAACTGAGTGATTTAAATTGCGCCCCATTTTTGATACACGCATTTCGGTAGGTGGCGCTGTAGTAACGGGTGTTTTTTTTTTCGAGGTATAGAACTTTAAGTTGGCATTACTTTTGAAGACCGATTTGACAGCTGTCAACTGATTTATTCTCAGTTTGGTTTGGCAATTCATCATGAATAGACTCACGCCTGAACAACGCTTGCAAATTGTGTAGTTTTATTTCGAAAATAATGGTTCTGTGCGGAATACGTATCGCGCACTACGTTCATTTGATCGTCGACAAAATCGTCCATCAGAGCAGTTAATTCGATTACATGTATGATGTAAAATTAAAGGTTATTTTCTTGTTCACTGCATTCTTCTCCCAATTATTAATTCTTGACGCTTGAATATCTATTTCCACTTTCTTTTTCCATCTGGTTTTTGATCTTCCTCGTCTCTTTTCTGCACCAATATTTGTTATTAGTACTCGTTTTTGTATACTGGTCATGTCCAAACCATCTCAGTCGTCGAGCTTACACTGTTCCTACTATATCAGGTTCACCATAAAGAGATTGAAGTTCTTTGTTCGTTCCCCGCACCCATCCACCTCACTCCCGCTTCCCACCCAATATCTAGCGTAAGATTTTTCTCTCCCAAATAGCTATATTGTTTTGTTCTGCTTTATTTAATGTCTATACTTCACTGCCATAGATGTTAATAGGTCTTATAACAGTTTTATACAACCTTTGCTTAGCCTTTTTTGGACACGGTTTTAATCTTTAGCAGTCGATCACGTGAGTAAACACACCGGTCACCCATCAACAGCCTATTCTGAGTTTTTTCCGCAATATTTGGTCTTCTTTTAAAAACAAGTCCTAGAAGTGTGTAAGTTTCCACCTCCCCAAATTGTTAAGTTTTGCAACTGACTGCTTTCACTGTTAATCCCTCATTTTTAAATTCTTTCTCTGTCCATTTCGTAGTTAGTTGTTTCTTCATTAATTTTCAAATCCAATAACAGTGCTTTGTCTTTTAACCTTTCCGTCACTTAACATGATTCCTTCTTAATTCTGGATATGATCTCTAAATCGTCAGCGAATGCCAAGCATTGGTGTTTTTTATGATAAAGTAATCCTTTTCTATTCATTTTCGTATACCTTACGATCTTTTCAAGACATAGGCTGAAGAGGACTGATCAAAGTAGGTTCCCTTGTCTGACCCCTTCTCGTACTACAAAAGAATCTGATAATTCGTTGTTGATTTTGACTTTATTTTCTGTCTTCTTCATTAATATCTTTCTTAGTCTGATAAGGTTTTCTTCGATTGCCAGTAATCTTAAGGCTTCGATCATTTTTTTACGATTTACCATATCGTATGCTTGTTTGAATTCTACGAATAATGCGAATGTCGGCTTCATGTGCTCGTAGCTTTCTGCCTGTATTTCTCGTAGTACGAACACTTGGTCTATTGCGCTTCTTCCGCATGTAAATCCGGTCTGACATTCCCCTACGATGCCTTCCACACTTTCTGCCAGTATATCCTTCACGTGTGAAAACACAATATTCATTAGTGCAATTCCTCTGTAATTGTGACATTTTTTCTTATCTCCCTTCTTATATATACTAAGTGACATATAAATCCGAACACCCAGTTTAAATGTTTTTATTTTAATAAAAGTTGGTGAGTGTACTTATCTTACTGTAAATAACAAGTGAAAAAATGTTCAGCCTTATCAGTTGGACATTCCGGTTTTTATACTGCTTTTTTTTAATTCACTAACGCTCTAAAAATGAATATTTCAGCCGCAGTAAAGAATCAACGTTGGCGAATTTTGGTTCATGACATCCTCTACGATCGGTTACGATGCCTAGAGTACGGAGACCTGTACGATTTCGTCAACGTAGTGGGTTTGATAGGGGCCGTATAGTGGGACATCGGGAAGCTGGACTTTCTTTTCGGGCAATTGCAGTTAGAGTGCAAAGAAGTGTAGACACTGTGGTTAGGTGTTGCCAGACATGGCTTCGAGAAGGCCGTACGCAAAGAGCAAGGGGCATTGGACGCCGCCGTAGAACAACAGACCGTGAAAATCGCCGCCTAAGATTATTGGCCTTAAGGGACCGTTTCTCCACTACCAGGTCCATTGCAAATGAATGATTTGCAGAACACGGAAGACCTATTGGCATGCGAAGTGTTTACCGACGAATGAGAAGTTTTGGCTTGTTTTCATACCGGCCACACTGGGTCCTCCCTTTAACTCGAGAACACCGACGTAATCGCCTTGAGTGGTGCAGACAACGGTCACTCTGGGATCAGGAATGGAACAGTATTGTTTTAGTGACGAGCCTCGATTTTGTTTAGGCATGCACGATGGTCGTGCCAGGGTTAGAAGGCGACGTGGTGAAAGGAGGAATCCACAGTTTTTTGTTGAAAGACATGTTCATCACACTGTTGGAGTTATGGTTTGAGGTGCTATAGCTTATGGTTCCAGGTCACCTTTAATCTTCATCAGAGGTAACATGAACGCGCAGCGATATATCCACGAAGTTCTAGAACCCCATCTTTTACCCTATCTTGACACCCTGGCAGATCCAACTTTCCAACAAGATAATGCCCGACCACATGTTGCAAGAGTCAAAATAGACTTCTTTCAACATAATGATGTCACATTGTTACCATGGTCACCAAGATCTCCCGACTTATCCCCAATTGAGCACGTGTGGGATATGATGGGTAGGAGATTTCTCAATTTGCAACGTCCTCCTCAGACTCTAGAAGCACTTCGGGAGGAGTTGGTGGTTGCCTGGAATGAGATACCATAAGAGGACATTGACCACCTGATCAGAAGCATGCCTAGGCGCGTTGGAGAATGCGTAGCATATCAGGGTACATCCACACATTATTAAAGATCAAAGGGCTTTAAAGCAGTGCAATCATTTTGAAATTTTTATCATTTACTTATTATGCTTCATTAAGTACTTGTACAAAATTTTATTAAAATAAAACCATTTAAACTGGGTGTTCGGATTTATAGGTCACTTAGTATACATTATGTACATTATGCAACTTATGTCATCATAATATAATACTGCAAAAACACCGTGCTAGTGATTTACGTTGGTATGTCTTTGGCTTCTGTTGTCTGTCTTTTGAATAGCATTCGATGTGATCATAAGACAAAAGAGAAAAAAGCCTTGAAATTGTTGAGTGCCTTGAAGCGGAGTTGTGATCGCTGGTGATTTGAATTAAGCTTGGTTTCATTATCTATTTGGTAGCGCTGCGATACAGTGACGTGAGACCTGATCGATAGCTGTATGCTAGCCTTTAGATTCGAAAAGTAGGATTGAATGGATGAAACTTTTCCGAGATTCTCTGCATATGAGGTATGTGCGATGTGAGTGGAAAATTAAATTTTGCGGTATTAGTTCTGCGGTAGCAGTTCTCATCTACGTAGGCGCTTTTGTGTAGGTCGAAAGCAATATCCGCTGGCGACGCAAAGCGCAGCAAAAGTATGGGAATCATTCAAACTCACAAAAAATGTAACTTTGTCGTTATTCGTTTTCCAGCCACATTCGTACTGTTGCATTTTCTCTGTCAGGAGATGAATCGGAGGTGTGTGTTCCTTTGAAAATGGATTACTGGAAAATACCTTCTTGTAGATCAGAATAACTTTCGGGAAACACAGAACATTTTGGAGGTGAATGATTCCAAAGAGGGATGCCTCCCATCAGTCACCACTAAGTCAGGGAATTATTTCCAAGTAGTCATATCTGTAGAACACGCTAGTAACTCACTGTGGAAAATGGTGCCAAATTGAATTAGTTTTCATTGCAGGATTCTCAGTTTGACTTAATGGTAGTCCAGGTTGCCCAAATACGAGAATATGAATTGGCGATTGGTTTGGTGGGCGTCTCTAGCAAGTTCACGATACCAAATGCCCCGTCGCTACTGCGTTACACCTTACCACCACCCAGTATAGTTTTCTGATGGATCGCTTGCAGTAACACATCACGGAACACCCTATCTAAGTTTGTTGTTTTTCTGTTTGATCGAATCCTGCTGCGTTGAATACCTTTCAGTTTGGTGGAACTATATCTTACCTCCATACAAGGGTGGAAATATGGGTCACAATTCTTGTTATTGTTGTTTCCACCATCGGTTTGTCATATTATCTGGCTTGGTGTACGGAGAGGTGCTGTGGCGGCTCTGCCTCAGTGTCGGTATGCGATTGGTACACGAGGTTATCCTCGGGCCCAATGAGAGTAGATAGTCTAAGCCGTTTCGGTCTCACCAGTTTTTAAATCCGCCGCTAGATGGCGCTGCACAAACCAAACGAAATCTAAGTGTCATTGATGAGTTGGGGGTCTCACCGCTAGATGGCACTGCACCTGTCATCTGTCAAACGTCATGTGTCATTGACCTCACCGCAAGATGGCGCAGTGTGCGTGCTTGATTGCGTTATTTGATTTCCTATCGAACATATGTATCTTCTTCAAGGCCACTCATTGAACCTTACGAACTTCAGGTCAGTCACTTTCCTCCTGAGATTGTGGTGTGAGCGCCATTTGTTTAACCTCCAGATTCTGGGATAGTAGGTGCCGAACAACAGTTTGTGGTGTAGTACCCCTTCATATTATTATTTATTATTATTTATTTATCAGCGAGCGACTGCCCAATTAAAGTACAGTATAGAAAATCTAATGTAAACCTAATCCTACCTTGACCTAAATATTTAACACCTAAAACAATTACAAACACTTTACAATCCAGATCATTTCTAAATTGAAACGATTTTAAATATATGGGAAAATCAAATATTAGATATTACCGACAGGAATCTAATTGACTTTTGAATGGTTTCTAACTTCTGAAGAAATCCAACTTATTCGAATACTGATTTGCTCACCCTGAAAATCTAGACAGGAAGAAATTACTATACTCTAGGCGCTGAAGAAAGAAACTAAACCCAAACAAATACACGCATATTGCTCGTGAGTGAGTGTTTAGGCGCAGGAGACATTACAGGACCGCATCAAAATATTATGGGTAGTCATCAAAAATTTCATACAAGATAATTATTATCTTTTACAGTAAATTTCAGTTAGAGATTCACAAATGAGTTAACTACACTTTTTAGTTATTAGTAAGTAAGCTGCGCGCACTCATTCAGAAGAGGAACTTGAATCTTCTGAATCGTCTAAATGAATTATTAGAGGTTCAATTTGGGTATCGATGACATTGTCCAAATCCCACATTTTGACCTCAACCTTCTCCCGAACGTGGCGGATACAGTTTTTCCATTCCTCTGCCGTAACTCTATTGACTGCGATGTGAAAGAGATTTTTAACATCAGAAAATTTATAAGTATTATTATTCGACGCCACGTATTGCTTTATGTTGGCCCAAATCAGCTCAATAGGGTTCAGCTCACAATGGTAGGGTGGCAGTCTCAAGACAGTTTTATTTTGTTTTTTGGCCATTTCGTCGATCATTTTAAAATCGTATTTGTATTTATGTCTATTGACTATACTTATCAATTCGCCCTTGACCATTGTTTTATCAAAATCGATCTGTTTTGAGGCCAGCCATTGTTGTATGTTTGCTTTTTTAGTTGCCATTGTGGGAATTTTTTCTATTTTTCTAGAATGGTACGGGGCATTATCCAGTACAATAACAGCGTTATTCTCCAGCTTTAGTAACATTTTGGAGAACCAATTTTCAAAGGAATTGCCGTCCATCTCCTCATGATAGTCCCCTGTCTTTTTTGATTCAAAGGCCCACAGTGCTTCGGGAACAAAGCCGTCTTCACTACCTACGTGACAAATGATCAGCCGTTTGCCTTTTCCTGGAAATAAATTATTCCTTACACTATGGATTGATTAAATTTGAAGGAATGAGGCAATTGAGTTCATTTAGCTGAATTTAAGAGTCACGGAATGCTGATCAAAAACTGAAAAACGTAGAAAATTGAAGTTTGCAACTTCTCAAAACCCATTCAAAGCAAATTGACTGCACCCAAAAATGATAATAAATTTCAAAATAACGCTTAAAAGAGGGTCGAAGTTTTTTTCCTAATGACTACACTGCGAATGCACCATTTTTGGAGAATATCACACATTATCTGCTATCACAGCATATTATTTGCCCGAATTTATCAAAATTAAATTGCCGGATAGATGAAGGAGCTTACCTGCAGGATTTTTCAATCCAGCCGAAAGACCGTCTAGAAAAGCCTGCCTTGATGATGTTACTGATTTGTCGACCCAAACTTTCGCTTGAGTATGTCCAGCATTCACCCACGTTTCGTCCAAATAGTAAATTTTTCTTTTTTCATCGCGAAACTTCCGAATCTTCCTAAGGTATTCCCTTCTCCACACAACAATGTCTTCTTTCTCTGTTAACATACTGTTTCTTCCCCGTTTCAAGAATCGAAAATTAAGTTCCTTCAAAAGTTTTCGGAATGTGGTTCTTTTAAATGATGGAAGATCCTCATCAGCATTAACTAATCTTAATATCTTATCTACTGTAGGTATCTCATTTCGG